AACATCACAGCTCTGCATTGTCTTGGGGAAAAAAAAGTGCTTGTTACTGTATTTCCCCGTGAGACAACTGTTATCTGGATTTGCTTTCCTGTAATGCCACCTTGCTAGTATTTACCCATCACCTGCATCTTGCAAAACTCATATCAGCTACCAGGTTTCTTTTTTTGCTCTTCCTCATGTACATAAACAGCAATTTATTAAGGAATAATAAGAAAAAAGAGTTCATTTTAAAGGTTACCAATGAGCTATATAGATAGATCAAGAAAGAACTAGTGTGAGGATGGTGCAGCAAAATTCCCTTTCAGTTCTATATACTCTATTATCTTACAGAGAGATGCAAGGATCTTATGTAGTGAAAATGAGAGATGCTCTTTAGTGGTAATTTTCATAAAAAGGGTTAATGCAGAACGTAGAGGTGACGAGATACATTATTACAATAATAGACTCAGTGAGGAAAAACTCTTTTATGACACGTTCCATTATTGCTGTTACAGACCCATAATTTGAAGATTACTGCTCAAAAAACCCAGACAGAAATGATTTTACAATCATGGGCCCATTAAAGGCTTAAGAATTGTCTGGTTAGATTAGGAAGAATTTAGTTGTTGAATGTTTTGCAATTTATTATGCTGCTTATAAAGTGCAGAGACACACGCACTTGTAAACCAGACTAAATTGGCAGAACATCCCGGTCCCCTGCTCGCTGCTTGCAAGGCCTCCTTGCCTCCCGACAAACCTCGTTTGTATTGATCCGTGTATCATTTCTGCATCTTTAGCACAGTCGAAATATTTATTTTAGCATTCGCTTCTCCCATCCCAAAGAGACAAGATGTGATACTATTGATTCTCTGGCCACTCATCCATTAGGCACCCATTAAGCCACAGACTGATGGACAAGTGTAAAATAATCACAATTATTTTAACGCCATCGCAGGGTGGCTGAGATCACGCACACGTCTACAGCGCGGCGAGGGTCACCTGAACTCCCAAGGTATTACTACGGCCACGCTTTATATGCTCTATTTCCCCGGCCAAATTGCTCTTTGTGCTGAACGGGTGAATTTTAAGCAGGATGCAGTGCCCTGGTGTAGCTTTAGCGAGGAAATGGCCATGGAACAGCTTTATTGTAGACGCTCTTGAATGTATTTGTTTAACTGCACCGAGTGTTTAAAATTACACTTAGGAGCTCATGGGCAAATGAAGATCTTTGTTCTAGTTAATACTTTTAAACTGAGCAGTACCCCAGGCAAATTAAATCTGCTTCTGTCTCAGATTTTAACTATTTAAACAGACTTTGAGACTTGTCAAGATATTTTTGTGGATGAGGCACGCCTAATTAACAAATACATGAAATATCTGCCTGAGTGTATGCCCGGGAATAATCCAAACAGGTCTGTGGTGCGAGGAAGTCCATGACTCGCACGCCTGCATGTGTTAGGTGTGCACCAGATTGTAGAAACCTGGCTGTCCCCACACCTGGCACATCCATTGCAGCACTCACTTATGTTATTACTTCGGATTATTACCATTCTTGAACCTGTATTTATTTTTCACTTTTTTTTTCTTTTTTTTTTTTTTTTTTTGTACAGTGCATGATCTAGAGCTGACATTTAGCTGTCAAGTGAAACTGGAGACCACACAAAACTTCAGGTATCAGGTACAGCCATTATTGCCTATTCTGATGCAGTTTTCCACAAGGATGTTCATCGGTGTGCACTGCCCAAACCCTGCGCTTGCTGCACGCCAACACTGGGGCTGCATTTCTGCACCCACCTCCTGGTCCTGCAGCCCTGTGCTTTGTGCTATTCCCTGTGCTTATCCCCAGGGAGTGTCACCCGGGCTGTGTTCCCCCTGCCAAACCCAGTGATCCCGAGGGAAGCGCTCATCCCGGATGTGGATGTGCATGGAAGCCCTAGGCTCAGAGCCGTGCTTGGCCCACGCACGTGTGCAGCATTGACGCACCTAGGCCCTGCTGTGGATGGACAACCCTTAAATGTTAATTTTACCTAAAAATTAGAATCTTTTCACGTGAAAGAGGGTGCAATAATGGCTATTATTGATTGTTCCGTGACGTCAATGCTACGGATCGATAGTTAATGTGCTGAGAGTTTGTGTCTTAAACAAGAGCCCCGCACGGCGCTAGCCCGCCGCCTCGCCCGTGGCGGGGACAGGCCGGTTTCCAAAGCAGGCGGCGGGTGCCGCGAGCCCGGGGCGCCGCCACGGGCCGGGCCCAGCGCGGCCTCCCCCGCGGCCGCTTCCCGGCAGGGGCCCCGGCGGCGCCGGGCGCGGCCTCCCCCGCCGCC